AATAACACATTATTTAAAGATCTGGGTTTCCAGAGTCGGTGATAAACACATTCATACGGAATACTTCAATATGTCGAGTACATTTTCTAGTACAAATAAGTCTTAACAAAGTAATGAAATAATAACTCTTTCTTTAAAAAAAAAATAACAACAAAAACCTAGATAACAAAATATGCAGTTCAAACTCACCGCTGCCAAAGTTCTCAAAATTACTCTACTGTCCACACAGGAAAACTTTTCGAACACACACAAAACATTCAGGCTAAATGCACGCAGTCATTTTTCTCGCGACCACACAGGTCATACAACATTTTACTTAGGAAGGACACACCCTCTCACTTCTAGGGCCTGCTCAGAACTAACTTACACGTAGACGAATTGTTAAGTTCAGACGATACGTTCCTCAAATGTATGTTTTGTATATCTTCGTATTGTGTGGAAATTATTCAAGATTTTAATTACCTTCTAATTTCAAAACTGCTTTCTAATTGTCTTTAAAAAAATTAAAACACATAAAAATGTGTTATTGGCTAATTAGGTTTTTTTTCCAAAAGGATTTTATAGGAAACATCATCCTCTGGTATCTTGCACAAATGCCTGGTAAGGTACCTCAATTTTTTGCGAGTGAACATGTTAAAGTAGCAATACTTCAAAGACAAAATCTAAGAAAAAAATATATATTATTGAGGAACGTATCGTCTGTCCTTAAAACCGGTCTGACAGCCGTGACCAGCTATCCGTAATATACGATGAGAATGAACCTATGGTACACTATAACCAACATAATCAAATTAAACAAAATTGTGTCAATACCTCCCCTTTTTTAAGTTTCAGAATTGGAAATCATATTTTGAGAGTAAACATGAAACAACTATATTACAAAATATGACGACTCAAAAAAATCAGCGCCCACGTTATCAACATCTTTGATAGCATGAACTACAAAATTATAGGACTGCAGAAAGATGGCCCAGCGCATTAACCTACCATTTAAAACTTTTGATCTGTCCAGATACACCAATACACCTAATCTGTCTACAGAATGAAAGTCCTACCATACAAGTATGCCTGAAATTTTCTTACAGCCCATACAATAGCTAAGACCTCCTTCTCAATCACAGAATAACCTCTCTCTCTCTCTCTCTCTCTCTCTGCATTCAACATTCTACTGGCATATGCCACTGGAAATATTTTCTCATGCATTTGCAATAAAACTGCACCTATTCCGTAGTCGGAAGCATCTATTCTGAGAAAGAAATCTTTATTTAAGTCTGGCAGTCTCAGAATTGGGATGTGTAACAGTAATAACTTTACAATTCATAAATGTTCTCTCACGTTCATTAAACCAATCAATTTTATTTGGGGTGCTTCTTTTAGTCAATTCCGTCAAAGGACAAGCGACAACGGCAAAATTGGGAACAAACTTACGGTAATAACCAATCAGTCCCAGGAAAGAACGTACCTGTTTCTTGGCTTCAGGACGAGGGGGATTCTTGATGTCTTCATGCTTGTCATTATTAGGTCGGATTACAGCATTTCCAACTGAGTAACCTAAAAAATCAAGTGAGGAGAGACTAGAAAAGTCTAGATATTGGGACACTTTAACAGATTTAAAACTTGAATTCAAACATCTTGATTATCACAGTCTAGTGTCTGTGGCTCACAGATTATGATCATTGATTAAATATATCACTTCTCAGGTTTGTAACTTTGTCGCTCGCGTGGCGCAGTGGTTAAAGCGTCTGCTCTAGAGTCGCGAAGTAAGGAGTTGATCCTTATGTCGCGGGTTCGAATCCCACTGCGGGACGTGGAGTCCGGTCCTTCGGATGAGACCGTATAAACCGAGGTCCCGTGTCGCAGTAGGAGCTGGCACGAAAAAGATCCCTCACTGCTCTATGGCCCTGAGTGCAGAGCATAGGACAAAATTTGTAGCCCTCCACCGGCAAGTGCACGTGGTGGCGTCTCCATATGAGTGAAAAATTCTCGAGAGGGGCGTTAAACAACAAACAAATAAGGTTTGTAACTGACTGACTGTCTATAGAAATATATCGTGTTGATCAATTTCACATCTGGCTCGTATGTACGTCGCCGTTTATAAAAGCGATAAACCAGATATACTAGTATTTTTGTGTGTGATTCACAAAGAAATACATATTTTTTCTGATTTTTTTCATCAATGATTTATATTAACGAAGATAATTTGCCGTTCACCAATCGTCCTATTATTCTTGACCTCCTTCAAACAAACAAACAAACAAAAATTAAAAAAGAATATTATGTATGTACATTTTATTTCTCCAGATCAAAAGCTTGAGGTCAAACACTTGAAAAGTGGTTTTAGAATGTTAGTGTTACCAGAAAATATGCACATGTATCTGTGTGCATGTAAGGGGTGGTTTGCACTTTCCGGAATTTGCCGGGATGAGCATATACAAACCCATTCCTAACACTACCTGGAATCCTTTTCTTTTAAAAACAAGTTGCAATCGGTAAGCTTTTTTTAAAGAATAATACTGCTTTTTATTTTTGGTTTTAATTCGTGGCAGACAGGTTCAATGTATCTGCATCTCAACATATGTTGCGGTGATGCAATTTGAATTAATGGTCATTTTCAGAGTTTATTTTCGTCGAGCCTTAACTCAACTGGAGGAGTGATAATTATTAATTAATATTTCACAGACGGGGAATATTGGCTCCATATTCATCAACGACACTGACAGTCAATCTGCTTGCTATGCAGTGATTGAATAAATGATTGAATTAATCCTTTGTTTATTTTTTTGCGTTTGCTTTACTGTTGATTATATATTGCATCCAGGTCTTGTTCACGTATGAAGTGAATACCCACTACCCAGTGCACCCATTAAGTGGTCATCATGGATCATCGCACATTTACTTCACGATTTGTTGCGCTGCGTTCTGTGGGTAGTGTGCAGTACTTATTTCATTACGGTTTTCCACATGTGAATAATATACACTATTAGTCGGTAGTTATTCCTTGTTTAAATTCATATTCTCCGCTACGAATTGTAGTGCTGGTGTAACCCTAAGGCCAAATAAAAAAATATGTGTGGTTCCGGTTACCCGACCTTCCCTATTTTATACCCCCGACCCTAAACTTTTTTTGGCAATTTTCATATTTTTTCCGGAATTTTCCCCGATTTCCATCAATGGCTCCGGTTTAAGTTTTAGCAATGACGGCCTCCTTGCAAAACATAGTGCAAGTGTTTAATAATATTAAGTCCAAAGCAAGCTAGCATGTAGGTGTCCCCTACCAGTATTGACTAGTATATTATCACATCACATCTAAATGCCATTTGCAAAGCAGTGATAGGTAATATTTAGAAAAATTAAGAAAATCATTTTGTTTAAAAAAAAAAAAAAAAAAAATCCCTACCTACCTACCCTAATTTTTTTGGAAGTGTAACCGGAACCACACATATTTTTTTGTTTGGCCTAATGTCAAATTGCGATGAAATATCTAAGTACTATATTCTGGAGCACATCATCTTGTTCCGACTTTTCACGCTACAGAAGTTAGTTTGTAAATAACACTTGTAACTCATGGCCATCCGACTTCTTTACTCTCTCGGACTTTGCACATTGATCCAAATAAACTTTTCTCCGCAGTAACATCAAGACCCACAATGCTTGTGGATCTCGCTGCTTACTTCGTTCTCGCGGTAAAAACAACTTAATAAATTTTTGGTTTTTTTTTTTTTAAATTACAGAAAATATTTTCAACCTGATTTAATGGTTATTGCATATAGATTGTAGATTAAAGGTTCTTTGTTATTTTTAAATTTTGCCTGGAAATGCAGCTAACATACGACGTCATGTGACATAACAGTCTAGACGTTCCAAATGTCTCGTGCGGTTTGAAGAGGCGGATCTTAAAATTAAGAAGAATTTTTTTTTTTTAAATATTTCTTGCTTTCGTTAATTTTTTTTTATTGTTTTCTATAAATTATAACAAAAAAGACGGAAATCAGGAAGTAAAATAAATGATTTTTTTTTTAAATAACTCCGAACAGCCCTTGTGCTGAGAGTTAACGATGTGCGCAACCTTTGTAACTAAGAGACTGTTTTACAAATAATGTAAGTAAAGAGCTTATTTATAAATCATATAAGCTCTACTTATACACAGGGAAGAAATGCGCACTGAGATTTTAAGTGTTTACATGTTTTGTTCACAATATATAATTATATACTTACATATGTAAAAGATACTTCAAACTCAAAACATTAGAGAAATATTTTCCTTTTCCTTTCTCTATGACATTCCATCCCGACATCAGATTTTTTTTTTTTTTTTAATCATTTGCAAATCTTCTCTTACCTGTGCTGAAGGGAAAAAAAAAGTTTGTTAAATTGGAAATCCAGCTTGAAATGCGGCAAGTCTGATATATATAATAAAATAAAAAAACATTTTTCTCGTTAATTAATACTATATATAGCAGACAATGGCTCATTTTGAAAATTACATGCTTTGTATATCTCAAAATCACTAAATTTAACGTAAGCTTAGTGCATCTTAAATTCAGCTATTACTCTTGATTTGTTTTCAAACATACAGAAAATAGTCGTTTCTTTTTTCTCTTTCTATTGATTAAAAACTGAAATATTCACTGATTTAGAAAAAAATTATTTCCACTAAAATTAATAAAATTAATATTAAAAAACATTCCTAAAAGGTTTAAATTCCTACAAAATAAATCTGTCAACTTAATTAAGTAGTCAACCTTTCGACATCTTTAAGAAGTTACTGAGTTGTTTACATTGAACCCCAGGCGTAAATATATCAGCAGGTGAAGGTCGGCGTTTAAAGCACAGATTTTTTTTTTTTCTGTTAGGTATAAAACAAATTCAATGACTATCATATATCGTTACTCGGCGAACTTAACAGATTTCAAGTATGTTGTAAAGTGAATTGAACGACACTGCTTGGACTGCACAAAAACATCATTAGTGAAACATTTGAAGGTTATTTTCTTCGTTGAGGTAAGTACATGTACGAGTAAACACAACATACTTGAGTCGACAAAAGCGAAACCAGTTCCACTCTAGCGTAACAGACAATGTAAATAAAAATAAAATGGATGATCGGAGGAGCTCATCACAGGAAACATCGTCTGTGAATACGTCGTCTTCATCGTCGTCGTCGTCAGACGAGGAAAATATGCAAGAAATATCCCGAAAAGAGAAATTTCGAAAAGTGGTGAAAGAGGTTATTCGTCAGATACGTAAACTTGACCCAGAGATTTGTGTTAAATTGCTGCAGGACCCTTCCCTTAATGTTTTGTCCGCTCTCAAAAAGAAAATAAAGAAACTGGATAAAAATTGGACGCTAGAGTTTCTGAATTCAGGCGGACTTGATGCCTTGTTAGATGTCGTCGACGTAATCGGAAACCGGAGAGTTACAAAATTTTCCGAAGCCGTAAAGCTTTTGGAATGTGTTGTTTGTGTTACTAAATTGGTAAATTCTAAGGAGGGGTTATCTTTCTTTGTTCAGAATGGAAGCTACACGAAGAAACTTGTCAAAGGTATATTTTTTTTTCTTTTTTTTTTCTCCCCCCCCCCCCCTCAGTTTTCCTAATAAGACATGGAGGATGTCACTTAATTGTGAATTACATGTCCAACAAATCAGATAATCAGATAAATCGAATGCGGTGAGATTTCCCGCTAATACAAATCTGTTTCAAACTATGTACCCTACATTTTTATTGAATTTCCTGAAAATCAAGTCTTGTGTCTAAACATTTAATAATTTTTCAATTAGTTTCGGAATACATTTTTATGTTACTTTGGAAAGTATTTTATAATATCAATCGACTGGGTTCTAAAAACAAATATTTTTTCACTGATAGTGTTTTCTTGTCAATTCTGAACTTTTGCTCATTATTTAGCACGAGTCAAAATACATGTGCTGATCAATTATGAAAATAATAACGATTAGTAAATATACATTTAAGATCATATCATTCATTGATATTCCTGTATCTTTTATGCAGATTGTTATTAATTTTTATTTATTTATTTTTTTATTTATTTATCTTTTTCACGATTGCTTTCGACTATGAATGGATTTAAACAGAGTTCCTTATGTATGTTTAACGCAGAATGTTGATGATGTTACATTTGTCTTTTTTTTTTTAAATATTTTATTTATTATTTTCAAGCATTGGACACAAGTCATGCAATGGTGAAAAAGCAAGTATTTGAACTACTATCAGCATTGTGTATATATTCCAGTGAAGGATACAGTGTAGCAATGAGTGCTCTGGACAGCTATAAGGTATATCAACAGCTAGGCCATTTTCCATCTATTTTAGATTTCTAAATATCTTATTTTAGAATGAAAATAATGTCAATGTCAATGGAAAATTGAAATCAATGCAGGTAAGTGAACAGCATTGAGTAAAGAAACAATATTTATTAAAAAAAAGTATCCGATTTCATTTTAAATTTTATTGAAACATTCTTTAACTTCAATGAAAAACATGAAGAATATTTGAAATCATGAACTTTGTATTAAATTGTTTTGTCAATTACCATAATATCATTTTTATTAAAAATGCATGTCAGGAGGTCCCAATGGCTATCATCTTACATTTGTTTTCAAGATGATGAAGAAACAAAGGTATCGATTTAGTGTGATCGTAAATGAATTGAAAACGGCGGACTTGGTTCCCTACAAAACCACATTGATGGCTTTTGTTAATTGTGTCATTGCGGCTAATGAAGAATTGGAGGAGAGAGTAAGAATCCGCAATGAATTTATTGGTAAGATGTACATTTGTCATTAATCTGTATGATGTAAAACTGCATGAAACTATGTCATTCAGTTAGATGAAAGGTGGACCTGATGGTCACTGAATGGCGGAACTCTTCCATTCAGACACCTTTTTAATACTTTCATTGTCCATTTATTTGACTGAATGACGCAGCCTTATACCGTGAATTAAATTAAAGTGCTTCTTTGCGATCACTGATAAATTTTAGAGGATTAATTTTCTTCCACATATGAACTATATTTATAGCTAATATATATAGGCCCGTAGAAGGCGGGGGGGGGGGGGCTTTTTCTGAATACAGTATTTTGCTATAGTAGATTTTCCTTTAGATGCTGGTTCAACCCCCACCCACAGTTTAGGTTTTTTATCTTGCTTGTCAGATTTTGGGGGATCCCCCCCCCCCCCCCCGCACACAAACTTTTGAAAACGTTGCTCCGGGCCTGTGGTACATAGCTGTTAAGCAAAAAATGTTGTCTGTTATAATTTTTAGGCTTAAACCTTCTGGATGTGGTCAATGATATGCGAAACGAGGACGACGAGAAAACGATCATCCAGTGCGATGTTTTTGACGACGAGAAAGCCTCAGATGACGAGGCAATGGCGACCTTGAATCCAGCCGTGATTGACATAAACAATATCAGGGAGGTGTTCAATGCTCTCTATCACAAGGTTAGTTTCTATTCTCTTTTGTATTGTGGATTTTATAGAGAAATAATTCTATACTAGGAATAGTTTATATCTTTACAAGGACATCGACGCAACACTGATGGTAAGATATAATTTAACGATGATTTTTTGTGATTTATCAAATTATCAGAGAAATCAACTTTCATATTTTTTTATAAGACATATTTCATAGTCAAGATGTAGCACGTAAAGTTTTACAGCAAACTGTTTGTTAGAACAGTTCCATTTCCCAGATCAAAATTTTAACCTATACGACATACAAGGATTTAAATGTACAGGAAGATTATTAGACTTTTTCCCTCAAAGCAAGATTGATTGATTGTAAGTTGTTCCCATTCGAGCATTTTTCACTCGTATAGAGACGTTACCATATACCGGTGAGGGGCTTCAAATTTTGACCTTTTACTCGGCACTCAGGGCCACTGAGCAGTGAGGGATCTTTATCGTGCCAACACCTGCCGTGACGCGCGGGGCCTCGGTTTTTAAGGTCTCATCCGAAGGACCCGCAACTTTCACTTCAAAGTGCCGAGCGAAGGAACAGTTGCTTACCATTTTTATCGACTTAGGTCAGTTGCGGCCGAGATTCGAACTCACGACCTCCCGAACAGGGAGCGAGCGCTCTACCGACTGATCTACCGTGAACGGTTTAAAACAAGATTGATATCAAATTTTATAAACGATAAATTTCTCTTCTAGGGAAAACTAAGTGAAATTGCATATGTATATGTGTGAGATTCGAAAGAAAACTCGTATCATGACTCATGAATATTTTTAAATCCAATGACTGGTGAAAATTTTGAGTAAATATTATTGCCTTAAATTTAGGTTTACAATACACCATTGGCTGAAATGCTTCTGAATATATTACAAACACTCCTACAAACAGAGCCAGAAAACCCAAGTAGGTAAGATTTTTTTAATATTTTGTTTACATTCATAAAAGCATCGCATCTATTCCGTCTACTAGTTTTTATTATGAAAAGAGGACGTAGCGATTACATATAGTTCATTATGCTAGGACAAAAAGGACTTTTTTTCTTTAATTAATCTGTGAGTTGATTAATTTTGACACGCTTTGGCTCTCAATAACATTAAATCTACTTCTTTTCAGTGACGATTGTTGGAAACTAATTGAAAAGTCAGTTAAGAAAGCATTTCTGATGGACTTAACTCGTGTCAACAGATGTCTTTTATGTGGAAAAGACGCATCACTACCAGGGAGTGTGGTGCCTCCAACTCTTCCTCCTCCACCACCACCACCTCCACCTCCACAATGTACAGTGCCTCCCCCTCCTCCACCTCCACCACCGCTAGGATTATCGCCACCACCTCCAGCACCACCACCTCCTCCTCCACAATGTACAGTGCCTCCCCCTCCTCCACCCCCACCACTGCTAGGATTATCCCCACCCCCTCCACCACCACCTCCTCCTCCAGGTATAGCGGTCATCCCTTCGTCTTCAGCAACAAACTCTCAGGGGTCCTGTAATGTGTGTACTCACACTCCCAAACGCAAATTGAAAACAATTAACTGGACCAAGATACCTCCTCGTAGTATTTCATGTAAGTGTGAAGATGGATACATAAATTCACTATATTATTTCACTCAGAAATTGAATACATTGTTTATGTGGAAATTTATTTTATTTAAAATAAGATCTGGTTAATTAAGAATATCTTTGCAACATAGATTATTTTAACCAATAGATATAAGATTCTGCTTAAAAAAAGCAGCGAATCTGTAATAACCTTTATACCCTCAGGCAGAGGAAATGTCTGGAAGGAAGTTATCATTATGAAAGATAAGGTGCCTGTGAAGCATGAGACCTTAGAACAGGAATTCTGCCGGAAGAAAATCCAGAAAAAGAAAGAAAAGAAAATTAAACTTCCTACAGAGGTAAGAGTCATGATTGGGAAACAAATACAAACATAAATATGCAACATCACCAATCATTTTTTTTTTAAATTAAATCTAAATATCATGTCAAGATGAAAGATATATATAAATAATCAGTAGCAATGAAAATCAATTTACTTCTACGTATTTGTTTTACATGACCTCTCTCTGTTCTTATTTCTTTAAATATCTCCTTCCATTTATGTTTTTTTTTTCTCTTGCGATGAACGAGAGACAACGTAATTAGCGGAAAACATTTTCACGTAATTAATTACGTAATTAACGTAATTGATAAGAAAAAACTTTCTTACAGATACTACTTCTTGATGTAAAACGAAGTATGAACGTAAACATATTTCTGAAACAATTTAAGTGCAGTCATAGGGAAATCGTATCTATGATAGAGAGGGGTGATGTACCAGACATCGGCAGGGAGCGTCTACTGGGGTTACAGAAAATACTTCCAAAGGAAGAAGAGGTATTGTAAATTTAGCATATATACGTTTTTAGAAAACGATCGATTGAATGAAATACATGAGTTACAGTGCAGCCTTTCACAAATTTACGTTTGTTTGTTTGTTTGTATGTAGTTTAACGTCCCTCTCGAGAATTTTTTTCTCATATGGAGATGCCACCACTTGCCGGTGGAGAGCTGCAAATTTTGTCCTATACTCGGCACTTACGGCCATTGAGCAGTGAGGGATCTTTTTTGTGCCAGCACCTACTGCGACACGGGACCTCGGTTTATGCAGTCTCATCCGAAGGACCGGTCTCCACGTCCAACAGTGGGATTCGAACCCGCGACGTAAGGATCAACTCCTTACTTCGCGAGTCTAGAGCAGACGCTCTAACCACTGCGCCACGCGGGCGACCACAAATTTACGTAAAACAGTCCAAGAACATTTTCTGGAACTTGTGTCTGGGACCACAAGGGGACAATTCTATCAGATGCAAAGTATATCCTGTACTGTCCCAGAAAGCACACTGGTTGATTAAGGCTTACCCTAATTATCATTGCACCCTGGCAGTCACTTTCTTGAACTACTAAGATATGATGTCATTATGTAATATAAAAGCAATAATGAGCTTATACTGTTACTGGGGGGAGAATTTTACTCTGCATTTTAAACTTCATGTAAAATGTTAAATGTAATGAAAGTTTCTGTGTCTTAACTGTAGTTTAAAGCTTGATGGTGCGGCTGTGTTATTGAATATAATAAACTGTACTAAGTTTCATTACCATTGATAATTTAGTCTACTAAATACGAAACAAAAATATACTTTGAAATTTTTTTTTCTTTCATGCCATTGGTTAGAAATAGAAGTTACCGTATGTGTATAAAAGCGACTAGCACAAGTGATAATAAGGATAAGTTAAGAAGTTGAGAGGAGTCTGTTCTTCAACCTAATCTTGCTTGGGAAAATGAGTAATTACTTTGCTTTAATATTAAACACGGGGGAAGTGGAAAATACCCCCAAGTTGAACTCAGAAAAATTATTTCACTATGACTCAAGCTCTTTTCAGGAAGAGAAATATAGAATAAGTTTATTTATGTAAAAAAAGTGAAAAGTAATTGCCTTAATTTTCTACTTTGAAGTGTTTTCTATTTCTCTTTAAACTTCTAAGAGTCTACTTTCTCTATAATATAATCAGTTCTCAAGGAGGTTAGATCAAAAGTATTATCAAAAGAATTGAGAATTTTTTATCAAGTATATTTTTAGAATCTACACGCATAGGTTAATTAAAAATCAAAACAAGGAATGGGGGTCAATGCGCTTCTTTTGGCGCTGCGGAGCTTTTAATATTACCTTTTTGCACTGTAATTACGTATAACACGTTAATCAATTTTTTTCAAACTTTTTCCTCTGTTTTTTATCCAAATAAATTAATACATGTAGAACAAACACATTCTTTCTTTTTTTTTATCTTGAATAGTCACATCTAAATTTATGACATCAAGACAAGTTTCAAAATACTTCTCATAGTCAATTATTTGACCTTTCTGCACCAACAAGGTCATTTTCCTGGCATTAAAAATTTAACAATAAAATCATTTGAAAGTAATGACACTTTTCTGAATTTAAGCAAAATTGTTAAAATTACCTGATAAATTTAGAAAAGAACATTAAAAGTGGGGGGTCTGTGATGTTAATTTTTAGCTATTTCCAAGATAGTGTAAATTTTATACTTAAATTGGGCTACTTCTTTCCAGGGCTTTCACAATATATTTGTGATATTTTTCCAAATATGATGATAGAATTCATGACAGTTATTTTAATATATAATTTAGGAACAGTATAATACATTTTACTGCACAAAACAACTCTCTGTGCAGACTGCATGTAAAAATAGGAATCCAAACTTAACAATACTGGAATACTTCAAAAGAGAAAAATTGATCATTTCCATCTAAAAAGCCTTCCGCTGCAAAATATAGTTCCTCACTTTATGCTTTTTGTATGGAATTTCATCATGGGTTTTAATGGAATATAGTTTAATTAGCATTGTAGAATCCAAATTAAATGAAAGAACTAAAACATTATGCAGATTTTTTTAAAACAGAAATCAAGACCAAAAAAAAAATGCTCAAAAGCTCAGGAAAGAACCTCTTTAATGTTTTAGCATCACTAAACGGTTGTTTGTAAGGCAAGTCCGCAAATCATCTATTACATCTTCGACCCTTAAAATCATTTTTTTTTTTCATATTTGCTTTTTTAGCTCACCAGAGCTGAAAGCTCAAGTGAGTTTTTCTGATCACCTGTTGTCCGGAGTCTGTCTGTCTGTCTGTCTCTCTCTCTCTCTCTCTCTCTCTCTCTCTCTCTCTCTCTCTCTCTCTCTCTCTGTTTGTCCGTCCTTTCGTCTGTAAACTTTTCACATTTTTAATTTGTTCTGAGGAACCTTTGGGCCAGTTTCTTATCAATAGTTGTTACAAAGCAAGGATAGGACCAGAAAAGGAAACCAAAGTTTTACATAGAAATAGAAAGGAAAAATCTTTGAAAATCTTCTCAAGGACACGGATTAGATCTAGAAAAGCTGAATCAATGTGAAGCTACCTGAGAAAGTTTAGATTGTTAATTGTTCAAATCATGTGGGGGTAGGGTGGTCAACAATAGGGGATCAAAGTTTTACCTTGAAATGTTTAGGAAAATTCTTCTTCTCAAGGACCACAGGACTAGAGAAGATGAAAGTTATGTGAAAGCTCCTGAGTTTGTGTATATTATATTTTGTTCAGATCATGGTCCCCGGGGGTTGAGTGGGGCGATAATAGAGAATCAATTTTTTTTCATTAATATATATGGGAAAAACTTTATAAATCTTCTCAAGAACCTCTGGACCAGAAAAGATGAAACTTAAGTAAACGCTTTCTGGGGTATTTTAGATTGTAATTTGTTCAGAGCATGCTCCCAAGGGATAGGGTGGGGTCACAGTAGGGATTATATAGGGAAAAAATCTTTAAAACTCCTCTTCTCAAGAACAGGGAAGCCTTGATTTATTGTATTGATGTGGAACCATCCGTTTGTAGTGTAGATTCATTTTTGTTCAAATCTTGGTCCCTGTATATAGGATTGGGATACAAAAGGCGATTGGAATTACTTAGGAATTCATCCAAGCTGATGTAAAACAGCAGGGCCAAAGTGATTCAGGTGAGAGGTGTGGCCCATAGTCATCTAGACTTGTTTTTTACTATACAGATGTGGAAAATGTTTGTCACATCTGTTGTTTTTCACACGGTATCCATGCATTGAATTCTGGTTGGAATATGATTTGTAAACAGAGTTACTCTCATTTCTTGAAAAGAACACACATTTTTTTTTTTTTTTGAATTTATTGTGACTAATGTGTAAGTCTACCTATAGAAAGCAATCATTTTTTTTAAATACCATCTTTTTTTCTATAAGGTTAACATGCTTGAAGAATTTGAAGGAGATAAGGAGAAACTTGGGAATGCAGAGAAATTTTACTTAAAACTGATCGAGTTACCCGCCTACAGAATCCGTATAGACGGTCTTGTTCTCAAGGACGAGTTTCATGTCACAATGGACAATCTTCTGCCAAATATTAATTCTGTGGTTAAAACATGCCAATGTCTCCTCGAAAATGAGTCTCTCAAAGTTTTCTTACGATATGTTTTACATACTGGAAATTTTATGAATGCGGTAATGTATTTTCTTGGCTGCAATTTTTTTCCAGAAAATTATAGAAATAAAACAGTTAATCAGGAAAAAAGAAGAATCATTTAAATCGTTTGTTTATAGAATTCAAGCGTTTTGTACTTGTACCAACTGTATCTAGTAAAAAGAATTTTAAAATTTACGTTTTAAATATTAATACTTCTTAATAGTAAATCATTGAAAAAACACATGTAAAAACTACAATTCATCCATTAATCACTAGGGTGGGTATGCAGGCAACGCAATGGGTTTCCGGATAAACTCCTTAAATAAATTGATGGACACAAGAGCCAACAAACCAAGGGTAACTCTTTTACATTATCTTGTTGAGGAGGCTGAAAAAGAAAACAAAGACGCTTTATCATTTGTTGAGGAGATGTCTGAACATCTGACCATAGCCTCAAAGTATGTCAAATTTTCAAACTCGGCATTCATAATCAATTTTTTACCTAAGTCTAAAAATCATTTAAAATCGCTTCATTGATAATAAGAAATAAATTATAGGGAGAAATGAAAGAAAAATACACTTAATGGTATAATAATAACATGTATTATATCATAGTTATTAACATAAAAAAGCAAACCCTTTTATGGTGATAATAAGCAATAATCTTTGAACATCAAAATAAAATCCTTTTACAAACCTTTACGAATTTTAAAGTTTGACAGTGGACTCACTGACAACGGAAGTAAAGGAGGCAAAGGGCAATGTTAGCAGCCTGAAAAGAGATCTGACAAAATGTCCCGATGACGTCAAGAAGCAACTCGATATGTTTGTACAGGCAAGCAAATTAAGCCCGTTTTATAATTTGAATCAAATAACACAATAAATTGTTCTTTTAATCTAAACGGTCAGCCTGATGTTCTTGAAACATATGGACAAATAAATATTGATAATTACAGGAAGCAGAAAAGGAAATGACGTCATTGGATGATGGTTTAGAGAAAATAAGTGAACTGACAAAGCAACTTGTTTGTTACTTCTGTGAAAAAGAGAAAAGTTTTAAAATAGATGAGTGTATACACGACATGAATACATTCTGTGATAATATTAAACGATGTCAAAAGGTAAATTAAATACAGATCCCTAGATTATTGATCTTAATTAAAATAGAATTCTTTTTTTTTTAACTTATAAATGCATTTCTGTGAACTCTTCAAAAGGAAAATTTGCGAAGGAAACAACAAGAAAAAATGGCAGAGCGTAGGAAAAAGCAAGAAGAGGAAATGACAAAGACACATGCTAAGCGTATGTTATAAAATTAGAAACTTCAATATAATTAAGAAAAGGTTTGATCTTAATTGAGATAAGAGTATATATATGGTGTATTTTTTTTCTTTTCAGATACTTCAGCGAAAAAGGAACCAATGGAGGATGATTGTATCATAGATCGATTATTGGAAGATATACGGAAGGGACACAAACTACGAAACACACGACAATAGACATTGTTTCGAAACAAGAATGACATTTCTCCTTTAAGCCTATTAATATTGAAATCACACGCATACACATTCTCACACAGACAAAAAAAAACACGCAATTAAACAAAATGTATTATTTTCTACATTATCTACAGCAAAATAGTGATTTAAATCCATTCATAACAGTTTGTACCGCTTAACCATAATTTGGAATAAATGTAAATATTAACATCCAGTGAATATTATCTCCTAAAGAAAGTCATTGCCGTTTATCAGTCAGTAAACACCACTAAGTAGATCACTTCTACAAATTTCTGGAACAGTGGATGTTCCAACAATTAAACGTACAGTGACGTACATATCAATAATACACTATTTCTTCTAAATTCTATTTTAAATGATTATTTGCACAGATAAAAATATTCACAATAAAATGTTCTTTGTTTGTTAGTTCGTGAATAAACGATGGAGCTATTGCAGGAAAAAAAATACATAACCCGCTTACGCTGGTTATGCATTTTTTCTTCAACAGCTGCAACATTAATTCCCTTAATAACAAGCAAAGAGAGCATTTTATTGTTGAAATAAATCATTTATTATGAATTTAATTATAGTACGTGGTCTAGCCACAAATCTAATAATTCAGTCTAGAAACAAGGACCATGCAACACATGGGTGGTTGTTGCTTGGTAACCACATAGGGCATCCTTTGAGGCTGTGCAACGACCCATTTATGCTTCATATATCTCTCTTTCATGATGGTTATCAAAATAATTGTCCAAACACACACAAGTATAATACATTTTTTAAATACCCCTCAACATTGAAAGAATGACATCACAATCCGTCATTCCTATCATTGGTGTGTTAAAGTTTATAACGTCGTTGTTGAATGCATGATTACCAATGATTCAAGTTACGCAGTTGTTGGACTTGCTGACTTATTTCCTTTTTATCAACTACAGTAAATGTATATATATATATATATATATATATATATATATATATATATATATATATATATATATATATATATATATATATACGAGGGCTGTTCGAAAATTATTGAGACAATTACTTTAACTCCACAAAGGACAGCGATAAATTCATGAAAGTTCGTCAACATTTCATAAAGAACAAATAAAACAATTGTGCAAAATTTCTAATTTATAGGATAATTGAATAGGTTCCGGTGAAATTATAAACAAGCATATGTCGTTCAGTCGTCGTTATCAGATTGCTATACCGCGCTTAAATTTTTAATGATCTCCGTTTTTCTGATCGAAATTCTAGCAAACTTGCACAAATTGAAGTCAAAATTAAATCGAAAAATTATATACATAATTTGAATTATTTTCGCTCTCACTATGGATCCACTGGGAGGTTTAACGTTGGTGTCACAAATTTTTTAATATCTGATTTCGTGACTGCGCTGGGTACCCCTACCATTGACACATTTATACACCATTGAAAAGAAGAAATAAAATATTTTAAAAATATTTCTAGCTTTTATTAATTCTTAGTGTTTGTCAAACGTATATGCAAATTTTCACCGAAAAACGTTCATTAGAAAGAAGAATATACACAATGTCTCAATAATTTCCGAACAGCCCTCGTATATATCTATCTGTCTATCTATCTATCTATATATATATATATACGTTGATAAGTTAAATTCTTGGTACAGTAAAAAATACTTAAATAAATGAAAACAGAATGCTACAGTCCAAGTTAAATAAAATCTTTACTGCCATTATATATATATATATATATATATATATATATATATATATATATATATATATATATATATATATATATATATATATATATATATATATATATATATATATATATATATCTTTTTTTTTTCTATTCTGCATAAAGGCGAGGCGATATTCTGAAAATAAATTGTTTAAAAGAAATTGTTTCTCATTTTTATCGTAAAATTTCCTCTATTGATTTGAATGTTTTAAGTTTTAAGAATATAAGAGTACAATTTTTAATCATTTTAAATAAAAATTACTCATATGTGTAAGCTTAGAATTGAAGGAATTAAAAGTCTTCAAATCATAGTTGTTTTAATTTGCAGAAAAGGGAGAATGAGTATTTATTGAAATTATAAAAACTATTTTCGCTCTCTTTAACGAGTTTTCAGAAACATTGATATCCGAAAAACATCATTCTAAGAAGATCAAGATGGCAATGAACTATCGAAGGGAAGATAAATATTGATACATGGCCCGGACAACATAATGTTACATTAGCAATAACATAATATGTGACAATTATGCGAGAACTGTTTCAATAAGACGGATGTATCATAAAGCTTCAGGTGTTAAGCAATAACTTCAACTGCGGAAGGCAGTGTTCACTGAAACGGTCGTTCCTCTTAAGATGGTTAAAATTTGTTATTCTCAAGACAGATCTATGCTCTGTTCATTCAGACAAAAGATTTTTTTTTTACAATTTTTATGCATAGTTATATAAATTTAAAGAATGTCACAACATATTCAAACGAAATATTTGGAAATAAGTATAACTTAAAATGTCCCTATATGGGTCATGGTGGATGGTCGGTAGAGCGCTCGCTTCGTGATCAAGGTTTGTGGGTCTTGGGATAAAACCTAAAAAAAAAAAACAAAAAAAAAAAACAAAAAAAAAAAAACGAGAACCCATATCACAATAGGCGGAAGGTGCGACGAAGAATTGCCTTGAGTGCCAACTAAAGTTTAAATTTCAGATCCTAAACCGATATGTGGTGACATCTCTATATGAGTGAAACGTTCTCGACTGGTACGTTAAACAACATATACATAATCCATCAATCAATCATTCACGGTGTAGAAAGCGTGTGGTAATATGAAGACCCACATGTTTCAAAACAGATTTTTGTAAAAGGTCTCTAGGTGGGTATTTGGTCTAGTTGTTCCCTAGAACAAAACACATAAGGGAACGACTTATTTTGTTTTTGGAGGGGGGGGGGGGATTGTTACCTTTAAAAAACAGAATACACAAGGTATGTGAAGTAAAACATGAGAACGCAGATCTCGCTGGTTGGTCAGCATTGCAAATATTTAAATACAACACAAGACTCAATTACTGACCAATACAATCAATTTCTAAATTAAGGGTTCATTACAGGTAAACTTCAGAAAGGGGCTCTGTAAATGAAAATAAAATTGATAACATTTAGAAACCAGAGTTTCTCCATATCTCAACATTTAACCATAGAGGAGGCCTAGGAAACTTGAAAGTGCAAATGCGTGTTCAAACCTCCAGGTTTCACTTCATCAGATGCTTAATTTACAGAAGTGTCTTCATGCCAACTATTTTCGGGAAAAAAAAATACATGATTTCGTATTCATTTAAACCAAATTCAACTGAATTTTAACAAATAATATAAGAAAATTATCGTTGTTGAAATATTTCACATATTTTTTCTAATAATATAACCAATGCAACACCTAAAAATAAAAAAAATCAGAATTATGAGGTCTACTAAGATATGAGGTCTGCATACATATAATACTTTATTGAAAACCGTAGGAGGAAAAATTGTTTACATACAAACAGGCGAACGCCATTACATAAGCTTTTTTCGTCATAATGTATTTATTATTTGTTTGTATAAATACAATATTCAAAACAGTATTTTCTATCTTTCTTCTATCTTCTTCATTTCTTTTTACCTTACAGTTCTCGCAGTTTTTTCCTCCGTAAATGTTTATTTTTCCAAGAGACATAGATAAAAAAAATGCGAAATATAGCACCGTGATTCTTTTTTAACTTCGATTAAGTGAACGCTTTTCATGGATGATGGGATATGTACATGTACACATGTTGTAGCAAAAAAAAATAATCAAACAGACAAAACAAATAAACAAAACGAAAGCAAAACAAAGAAAAAACCCAGAACATTTGGGTGGGGCACTTTTGGTGGGCTGTGCAGAGATGAGATAAATTTTGTCTTGCTTTAAACACGTTAACTTAGACTTATGAAGACTGGGCCTTGCTTGGGTGCGTGTCAATTACTAGAAATTGTGGATTTTTTTTGTATGTTTATTTGTTTAATGTCCCTTTCGGGAGAATTTTTCACTCATATTGAGACGACAAGACTTGCCGGCGGAGGGCCACAAAATCAAGACCTATACTCTGCAATCAGGGCCATTGAGCAACGAGGGATCTTTTTAGTGCTAGCACCTGCATCGACACGAGACCTCGGTTTATACGGTCTAACCCAAAAGACCGTTTCCTTGTCACGCAGTGAGATTCAAACCCGAGACGTAGGAATCAACTCCTTACTCCTCGTCTCCAGACCAAACGCTCTTACCACTGCGCCACGTTGGCAAAGATTTTTTTTGGGTAAATCCTCTGTAAAGTATTTGATACATTTGCGCAAAATAAATGCAGTACCAGGTCTTGGAAAATAAAGGAAAAAAAACTTTGAGTGATATCGTGTGCATTAGTTGATTAACCTATTATTCTTCATGCTTCACTCAACACAAGTTGCCCCTAAATAAATCATATTTATTCAACATAGTATCCATCTCTCCGTTTGGAGGGAGATGCAGCCACGCTGTATTAACACAATTAACTACTCAAATTATTAAACTACTGGTGTCAACAATGTAATGCAACAGAAAAACAAATCTTGGCGGCCACTCGTTGAACAATGTCGCATATAGATTTAACTATGGCGGGCCACTATTTAGCTGTTGCAGGCCGTCATGGTAAAATCCCTTATGAAGAACCTTGATTAAATATTGATTTCCCGTCAGTGATAGAAAATCCGGAACTGAAATTTGACTTGACCTAAAGGTAGCAAAATGTGGATGAAAGATGTGTAAGGGGCTGTAGACAATTTTCCTAAAAGTATCTGGAAGATAACGTATGATTTAAAGGCAGCTTATAGAAGTTTGGACATGAATAATGTGTAAGCTGTTACTTATAGGTTGCTTTACAGAATTACCTTCTTAAAGGTATGTTAAATTTTCTTCAAGCTTCCGTTGAGCAAATGCTTCAAATGATATGTTTTTTCCCTTACATGCAGAATGATAGTCTAATACTCTACCGAGATAAGAATATTTATGAATTCCCTGAGAAAATTAGAATACAGGGATGATTATGGTCTTGGACGTAAAGGGCATGGGGATTAAAAGAAAGATATAAAACGTTATAAAAATGACGGTTGTACTACGTGCTAAAAGAGTTTCTATTAACCAAGAAATTGACGGGTTTTTTTGTTGGTTATTCAAGATAGAATTATTACAGAGAAAAAACTTCCGATAAGGAAGA